ATTCTCCGATTTCCTCAGTTACATATCCCCGTTCCCACATACAAGACCAAGTCAAATGGCATTACTGCCTCGTGAAGCACCTCGTCTCCCACTGCCCTCTTCGACAAGACAGTGGAGATTGGTACCAGCGATCTTAAAACAAGCTGATTGAGCTCGGACTAAAACTCAAACAGAAGCGTCGTCTAACACAGGAGAAATATTAATACAGAGCGAAGAAGAGTCTTGTGTGCTCTCGGATTTAGGCGAACAAGAGGATGGAAGCGAAGACGTCTTAAGTCAGGAGTTTTGAGTGAAGCTTACCCCCACTGAGACTCGACAGGTAGTAGGGTGTTTCTGCATTTAACTTTATTTTGTGTTTAAACAAAAAGATTGATAATCTCGGGATAAACGTGAGATTTCCCCGAATTGACGTTTCGTCCGTTAAAAACGCATTTGCCCATGGGATACTGTCTCGAAAGCCAAGAACCGTGTAGCTTTTTTTTGTTTTTGGTAAATATCGGATGTTTACCTGGAGCGACCTACTGCATCACTAGTACAGAACTCCCCCTCGGGATTAGATGGGACATTTTACAAATCATTTCAGCGGAATTCTAACAGCTGGATACAAAGCCACATATGTTCTGTCAATCATTTTCAGCATATATGACAGGGTAAGCAAAACCCGAGCTACACCTATCGAGTGTATTGTATAGCAGTACTATGTACGTAAGCAAGCTAGAATACCCATTTAAGAATTGTCAAAATGCCCATTTGAATTGGACTCGGACCGCCATCATCTCGCACAACTTCTCCGTACGCAAATCGGTTGTGAAAGCTTCCCGCACGCCCGTAGTGAAGTCTGTTGTGAGCTCGTTAAGCTTATCCATACTAGCCCGTCGTGAACGCGTCCAGCATGTCCGTACTCGTATTCGTCGTGGACTAAGTCCGCATGTTCACACTCGATTCTGTCCTGAATCCGTTCAACATGTCCGTATTCGAATTCGTCGCGATCGCAAGCCCATCCTCAATGCTCTCACTCGAGTCCATTGTGGAGTCAGCCTGCATTTCTGGGCTCGTGTCCGCCGCGGCTAGTGCATCCGTATCGAGTCTGCATTGCATCTTTTTGTTCGTGTTTAAAAAAACGCCGTGGATTCGTTCAGCTTGTCAGAGCTTGAATTTGGCATGCGCTGAACTGATTTGATAGATAAACGTTCGTAAAGCTATTCTTCAAACATGAACCGAAAGTGCATTCCTTTTAGCAAAAACTACGCTTCCTCTTCCTTATCTTAGTGTAGCTCCGTTGACCAGAGTCTTCTTTACGAGTTACAGTCTCGATGCAGGTCACCTTCCACGGCGCAGTTGCCTTTGTTCGTTACAAAGTGCTGAAGTCATCATCGACAGTATGGGTACCCGAGGAAATGGACGAGACGGCTGAAAACAAGATGTTGACCTGACTGTTATGCTAGAATAGATTCGTTGTTGCAGCACCTAGGGTAATACAAACCACCATCATTGACAGGTTGAGTACCGATGTTCAAGCGGTTGACCAGAGCCATTGACGCAAACGAACATCATATTAAATGACAAGCTACACTAACTAAACTGCCCATTTTTCATCAAAAGGGTAGGGGATTTGAAAATGGCCCAATAGCCCATGCCTAATTATAACATCCGGAAGGACGTGCAGACATACAGGATTTGCCTTTTGTACAGGTATCCGAAATCAATGATTGCTGCAATCAGCTGCCCGCAATCATTGATTTCGGATGCAAAAGCAATCTTCGCTGGTAGCAAATTGCTGCTGCGTACATGAGTAAGAAGTATAGGTAATTAAAAAAAGTCTGGATCAGACTAATTGGGAATCGGGTTCTTAGGACGCACGCACATAATTAGTATAGACCAGTCTTTTTTGCGAGCTGATACATTTAAGAAGAAAAGTCAATTATGGGTTAAAACAGGCCCAGACTAATCAGGCGTCCAGAATAATTTTAACACACACTAATCAGGCGTCCAGACTAATTTTAATACACTTCTTACTGTATCGGTAATACTACGTACAGTGTTGTACGTTTCTGAGGTGCACTGATTGTGTTTCAGTAGAAAATTTAGTGATAGCCCCTGCCTGGCATCGCTGAAGACACTTTCCTAGCATTGTTCGATCCTGCGCTACCTGGATTAAACTACTGCTGTCTTAAAATGCAAACGTCCTCAACATTTTTTTATGCCTTTGTGCTGTCAATAGCTGCGAATGTTACCAATTTCGCGAATTAAGGAGAGTGTTCACTATTAAATGTTACTTACATGTAATTAAATTGCGTTTTCGTCCCAATAAAAGGTAATTGGTTTATT